AAAAATAGGGGTATATTTTTTCGGTATAGAACAATTCTAGGGGTCAATCGAAATGGGGTTTAAAAGACTTTATTTCTGAAAAATATTTAGGAAGGTTGCAACATATTTGAAAATCAAACAATTTTTGAATTAAAGCAAATAGGTAATTGAAACACATAAATATGTATAACAATATGAGTGTCAAATGAAGGAGGTTTAAAAAGGTTTTACTTTGAAAATACTTTTAAGGGGGTTGCCACTTGTTTGATAAGTCGAACCTAGGTAACTATTACACAGGTAATATAAAATATTTAAATATGGCTGTCAAATAAAAGCGTGTTAAGAAATGTTTAGATTGGTGGAGTTTCAAGAACGTTGTTTTAAAAAAGATAAATTTAAATTATTAAGTTATGAATTACTAAAAATCGGTATTAATCGAAATGGGTTAGAAAAGGTTTTATTTCAGACCTTGTTTAGGAGGATAGCCATGTGTCGAAAAATCAAATTCATCAGTTAATTAAAATATGTATCACAACCTCAGACGAAAGAGATTGAAAAAGATTTTAGTTTGATAATACTTTCGAAAAGGATTTCCAACTGTTTGAAAAATAGAATTCAGATGACTTATACACAAGTTTTATGAAATATGAGTGTCAATTGAAAGAGACATATGAAAGCTTTAGTTTTAAAATATATTCGCATAGGCTGGCCACCTTTTCGAAAAGTCATATCGATCTAACTAAGTACATATGTATGTATAAGGGAAGGCGTTTTTGTGAAGGTCATTAGATTTGCACCGTTCTTTGGAATTTCAAAATTAAGGGGCACATTAAAAACCTTGGTTTGTAGATGTGCGATAAAGCTTTATTTTTGGGAATTGGAACTTTTTTATCGGTACAGGTTGATTTGAAATTTGATGAAAAATTAAAGCGACAATATACGAGACCTCTCTTCACTCAAAAATTGCTGCACGGATTTAGATCCTATAGGACACCGCATCGCTTATAACTTTAATTAACATTTGGATTTTTTTTTAGGGGTTTGAAATTAAGTTTCCGGAGTTTTAACGCCACGCTTGTTCACTAGTTTTTGTTTATTTGCCTACATATTTGCGTATAATTAGCAAATCGCCAAATGATAAAAAGCAGCTATGAAAACCAAAAAAGGCGTCAATTTTTACCCGAAAAGCGTTCCCGTACTTTTTAGCTTTTCTCTATTTCTCTGAGTGTAATTTTGCCTTTTGACAGTTTTGCCAGTTCTAAATAATTTTACAGTCTAGCAATATTTTCGAGGCTTTCCCTAAATTTTAGTGAAATAAAAATAAACAAATAAGCAAAAAAAAAACAAATTTTGTAGAATGATAATTTTTTACTTTTAACATTATTTGCACAACTTGTTTTACGACTTTTTAAGCACATATTTTGGTAAACCTCTATGGTAATAAATTTAAGCGACTCGTTCAAAACTTGTGGTCTCATTATCTCTGCACAACTGCGGACAAGATCGCTGGGTTTTGCGACACAGAGTGTGTATGTGTGCCTGTGGTAAATGAGTACTGACTGTGTGGCTTGCTGTGGTCAGTGATGGTTAAACACACAATAATACAAGACCCATACTGTTGACAGGTTTAACACTTCAAGAACTCTTTGTTATGAAGACCTGTTGAGCATTGTGGTAGATAAAAAGGTAGCGCACGCGCTGCTATTTTATAGTTAAGCAGTTGAATTCCGCAGAATGACAATAAAAATAGATGAGGTTCTGCAATTTACTTCCGAGTGAATTTCAACAAAAGTCACTTTGAATTGCGGAACCTGCCTGATAGACGCGTATATTGTGCAGCAGTTGCAAATTAATAGACATAAAATGCAAATAGAAGGCATAAAAATGCTTCCAACAGCTGGCTGAAATGCTCGCACAAACACTTTAAAAAACTTTCGAAATAATTAAACGCTCTTAACTTTAAATCTTTCCGCCTTTGACGCTGAGTAAGCACGTGATAGCGACGCACTGATAAGACAGGTGTGTCTATTTCTGACGCCAGTAGCATACCTACACTTTTTTTTTGATTATTTAAAAAAAAAAAACCTGATAAAATACGTAAAACTACAAAATATCAAATTAAACATTTTCAACACTCACAATTATCATCATGATCTTGCGGTCCGTCGCACGACGAAAATATATCATCGACATGACAAGAGCGTTTCGGATATTTTCGATCGATTGGTGTAACCTCGAAATCCTTAGCACCGATTTCTGAGATGCGACACTGTATATAGCCTTCGACGGCATCGCGTGCCCACACCAGTTGTGTGTCCATTTTGCGCACTGAAAGTGAAAAAAGGTAGCAAGTATTAAACGATTAGTAAGCATTCGAAAACAAAGACTACTTAAAGTAAACTAGAAAATTGCTGGGTAATACAACTTATAAAAATTTTTTATATTTTTTTTATCACAAAATTAGCAAGAAGCATGTCGAAAAAAAAACGAAACAAAGTAAGACTCACGGCGCTATATGTATTTATGTGTGTATGTATGTACGACTATCAATAAACCACTAACACAATTCTTTTCTGGGTAAAAGTGTTCCGCAACGCTAGCAAAAGTCAACTAACTACGCGCTCCACAGCTGGAGCGTCGTCAACCCAACCTCAACAGCTATGGCGGTGGGTTCAACGCCGGTACATACATTCACACCCTACTACTTACTATGCTCCGATCCGCAGAGTTGCATACGAATCGAACGCTCCTCACTCGGTTTCGTTGACTCTTTTAGTAACTGCGGTAGAGCTGGCTGGTTGAATGGCTGGTTGTTGGCCAGTACATATATTGACTGGTTGGTTGGTCGGTAGCTTGGCTATGTAGTAATCTAAGCAAGTTATGTTTTTTGCTTGTTAGTTTTTGCACAATCGCGTATTGCATGCTCTCGCGCTCTCCTAGCCGCTTCAGGTTTTAATTTTTTTTTTATTATAACCATTTTGCAACCTTTGTTTTGCCTTTCCGTTGTGAATATGTACCTACATTTTTTGCTATATTTCTTCACAAACTTGTTGGTCGGGCCGATAGGTCTGATTCATTCTTAGCTGCCTGATAAGATTAAGCATTGTTTGATGGGCTCGAGTACATAGCACTTTTTGTTGATTTTGGCTGATAGGGAATTTTCTACCTACCAAAAATTTGAATGACACTAAATAATAGAAAACAACGAAGTAGGAATTTTGCATTTCTTTTGTTTTTTTTTTCGAAAACTGTTGATCTCTGCTAAAATAACAACTTATTTACTTTATATTCAAAAAAAAAATTGTTTAAGTCAATAAGAATGAAAATGGCCGATCTTCAGTGATCAAGCATGTGTAGCTACATACTTATAAGCTTGTCAACCACTCATTCAATTTAAGAATCCAAACCACATTTTGGGAATATATGTAAGTTTATCTTACATTACTGTAATTTTATAGTACAAATTATATTTCTTTTTAATTAAAGTTCGCCGACCATAAATGATCACGCGTGAGCGTTCAATCACTTTTGCATTTAAGAGCAATTGCGAGTACAATAGTCTATGACGTCGTTAAAAAAAAAAAAATAAGGGAGTTCAGCAAGAAAGCAAAATTGAATAATGAATATTCACGAATGCGAGTGGATAGCGTTAAAATAAACGTAAAATAAATATGAGACAACCTAGTATAATCACTTGAATATGTTGTATGAATGTATTATATGAATAGTGATGACCATACAATTAGGGACACGACTTCTTACTAGTTTTGACAATTTACCCGTTATTTTTTTTTTTACAAAAATACAGTTCGTACCTCAACGGAAACCTTATAATTCAAAGCTTCAAATTTTGTGCAAAATCGCGAAAATTCAAAAAATGTTCATCATAATTTCAAAAGTGCCAGTTTGAAGTGGCACAAAATTCGCGTTGATTATTTATCATTTAATTTGCTGATTTCGTACAAAAAACCCAAAAAAAATCGTACATATTGCACACCCAGATCTAAAGTGAGCTAACTCAAAATTCAGATCGGGAAATATAACTGCGTGTGGATCGTACAGACTAAACGCAATTGATGCAAAAGCAGGTATAACAGTAGTTTTTTGGTTGGTTTTCATAATCATGAAAAAAAAATATTCGCATTAATTGGAAGACTTACGAATTGATTTATGAAAAAAATGGTCCTATTTTTTATTTTTTTGAGTTCATCGCACTTTAGATCTAGCGATATGTGCTTTGTTTGGAAAAAATGCGTAACACTATCAGCAAAAAATATATCACAAGTCAATGCAAATTTTAATTCACTTCAAACTTGCGCTTTATTTTCTTAAAACTGAATGGACTATAAAAATTTTCTGAAAATTTTCATTAAAAAGTTTGGAGTTATGATGACAATTTGTCAAAACTTGCAAATAAGTAGTGTCTCGTAATTATCTGGCCATCACTGTATGTATGTATGAAGGTCAGTGAGCAGAACAATTTATAACCGTTTATGCGAATCATTTAAATGACGATAATAATTTCCAATGATGGTGACGATAAATTGCTGGTACTGTTGCTTTTGTTAATGATGGTGCCCATGTTGATGGTTGGTTGTGGTCGTGGAATGGTGTAGCTCGTATGTAGATACATATGTACGTAGTTTTGTTGTTGATGACGCTGATAATAGGTTTACTGAACTAACCGACAAGGTGAAATTTATTTAAATTGTTAGGATTGTAATCCTAAATGAGTTATTAGTGATTTGCGACTGCTTTGACAAAAAGGGGTGCCTGTTTAAAATGATTTTTGTTTTTATTAAAAAATTTATTAATTTAATAGATACCAGTGTTGGCAAAATGTTAATCTGATTAACGATTAAAGTGTTAATCACGATTGACATTTAAAATTAATTAATCGTAATCAACTGTACGATTAATGGTTAAATTTTTTAATCGTTAATCGCTGGCTGCGATTAAGATTAATTAATTTTAATCATTAATCGTTGATCCAATTAAAAATAAAATCTGATTAAGTTGTCTAGTTTGTCCGAATTCGAAAGCAAACACTAGTTATAGTAATTATTTTATGTTTTGCGCTTATAAAAAGCACATAATATTAAAAAAAATATATAATTATTGTTATTAGTAATACATAAACTGGGAACTTTGCAACCCAGCGCACATAAGCAGAGGGATATTAAAACCTAGTTTGTAAAACGTCTGTTGGTATAGATCTTAATGAAAATGCAAACAAAATTGCTTATATTGATGAGGAAGCCCGACTTAGCCATACCCGATTAACTGGCTTTGTGTGCAGACGAAAATTCCAGCATAAATAAATTAATCACCAAACCTACTTAATCAAATTAAGGGTTAATGATTAAAAATTCACTTTTTTAATCGCGGTTACGATTAACTGTTTAATCAGATTAAAACTAATCATGATTAACTGTAATCGAATTGAATTTAATCGAATTAGAAATATATACTTTGAAGAGAGGCTGATCAACTTCGTAATGGCACGGGATATGGTAGTTAGTAGTAGCAGACATCAGCATTGAAACCTGGAGTGTCCCCTGACCAAAGAACAAAACTGATCGCGTTGTGTTAGACGGAATATACGTTTCGAGCGTTCTTGACGTGCTTTACATCCGAGAAGTGAACATCGATTTCGATTACTAGCTTGTTNTTGATCGCGTTGTGTTAGACGGAATATACGTTTCGAACGTTCTTTACGTGCTTTACGTGCTTTACATCCGAGAAGTGAACATCGATTTCGATTACTAGCTTGTTGCAGCTAAGGTCCGCATGCGTCTCTATGTAATGAAGAATGTGTGCCAGGCAGCAAAACGAAAATTCTACGTCGAGGCTATTAATTCTGCTTATACAAGCAATTCTTCATCGCCGAATATAAATACAATGCCGCCCTACAGCCAATAGCTAAGCGAGTGGCAGTTGAGCGATACCGGAAGATGAGAAGGGAGGAGAGACGTCTATTCAAAAGGAAGTAACGAGACCTAAAGAAGATCTTGATTTGCTGGCAAACAGAAATGAAGGCACAAAATTTTACCGGAAAATAAGAGAGCAAGTTAAAGGGTTTCACGACCGGTGCTGGTTCGTGCAAAGACGAAGACGGAAATCTGGTAACATACATCCAAAGTTCACTTGAGATATGTAGAGAACTTCTCGACGTTATTGAATGGCGACACGGGTGAGGAAGATAAACGTCACTTCGTTCAACGAGGTAAACATAGCAATAGGCAGGTATAAAAACAACAAACCCGCCAGAGCAGACGGTATACCGGCTAAACTGTTCAAAGTTGGAGTCGAAGATATGATAGGGTAGCAGAATTTGGTCTGATAAATACTACATGCCCCATGGTAGGAACCTCAGTGTACTTTGTCAAATCAACAATAAGGGAAACTCCACTGTTTCATTTGCACGCTCATTTGGTTATCCGGATATTCTAAAATGTTTTTTAATAATTTGTAAAAACGTTCTCAAATTTACTAAATCTATTGAGTTGCAAAATAGAACACTTCACTATAACATACACGACAATTTTTATTCAATTATTTGCATTCAATATTTTTAATTGAGCTTGATGCCGTTTTTATGGTTAAAGTTATAGACTTCTTCATTGAGTTCACTGGGACTTGAACCAACTACTCCGGCGTTAAACGCCAGTGGTTTTATTGCTATTTAAACTGATCATGTGGTTGCTGTTTGGTGTTAGTTTGTGTTAAGATTATATTTTTAGAAGAATATTAAACTTTAAGGTGTGCTCGTCCTTTTAAGTTTAAGTTATCCGCGTATGTGAGGTTGCATAAATTATAAAAATACTTATACTTCAAAAGGGTTCTTATTTTTATAAAGCAGTCGTATTTCTCGCTAGTACATTTCAAGACAAATGGACAAGGATTGAGCCAAGAGCTTGTGTAAGCAAATTTAATTTTTGGCAGCAAATGTCAGTAACGCGGTTTTGCAGAATGACGATACGCGGTTTTGTACTTTAAACGACGATTAATATCAGTTAATTTTTTTTATACGAATATACATATGTAGGTATTTTTTAATCAGGCATTCAATTATCCGGATTTTTTGGATATTCATTAAATCTTGAGAGAATTCCCTAGTATCTACTTGTATATACCGGTAGTGTCTACAAGCAGGCAAAAATAGTTTCGGTATCATTAAAAGTAGCATAAAGCTGCCTTAAAATTCACTAAGTGAGTACTTGCAATTTAAGAATTTGTACTCAAAGAGGCGCAACAAATTAGCAACAATTTTTCAGACAATTTAACATAATCTTGATTATGCATTTTTATATTCTCTTTAAGATGCTATTAAAAAGTAGCATCACGCTATAGAGCTATNCTGGATATTCATTAAATCTTGAGAGAATTCCCTAGTATCTATATACCGGTAGTGTCTACAAGCGGGCAAAAATAGTTTCGGTATCATTAAAAGTAGCATAAAGCTGCCTTAAAATTCACTAAGTGAGTACTTGCAATTTGAGAATTTGTACTCAAAGAGGCGCAACAAATTAGCAACAATTTTTCAGACAATTTAACATAATCTTGATTATGCATTTTCATATTCTCTTTAAGATGCTATTAAAAAGTAGCATCACGCTATAGAGCTATGTACATGTGTATGTATGCAGTTGCCAAAAGCGAAGTTGCAGCTAAAAGTAAAAAGAAGCAATCATGTTGCACTTAACCTATCAGCGTGGTAGATGGTTGTAAGTAGCTGTGTAGCAATCGCTGCTCTGTAAGGGAGTCTAAGAAAAAACTATCCTACTAGTTGCCACCAGCAATAACAAAGTGCACGCG